TGCAAATGATCTATTCTCTTACTACTGCTCAACTCCTCATCAAAATCCAAGGACCCATGAGGACTCAACTGCCCAACTTCATGATTGGACAGATATTTCGAAATGGCATCCAGTTCCTGACGCAAACTTGAAATCTCCTTCCACAAAGATTCATATTTTGATTCATAAGACAACAAGGATTCGTTTTCATCAGAACCAACATGGTAAAGCTGCATTGTTTCCCTCAATTTTGTAAGCTCCAATTCGTTCTGAGCAATCTTATCGGCTACCTCTTGCTCAACTGCATTCACCATGCCCCTAATGACAGCATCATTAACCATTCTCGAAATGGTTAATCGATCATTGATGTCTTCCAAGTATGAATCAAGATCATTGACAATGTTAAGACCCAGATCCTCATTCTCTTTAACACCATTGCTAAGTTTCACTGACTTGTTTATTGATCCAACAGAATGTGAATCCTCAGAGCCATTAACATCACCAGAGCTTTTCATATTGATTGAACTCTCCATTTCCATTTAAATACAGCCTGCAACCTTCAGAGTGATACTGCAAAAGTAAAATGGAAAGTAAGTTAAATTGAATCACATATAAGCTTTTATTTCTCAACCAACACGACACAACTAAATTCAAAAGCAAAAACTCACCTTCCCCAAATCATTTACTAAAACGGTTATGCTCAAATTCTGGCTACCAGAAAATCCAAAATTCAATATATATAACATTTTACCTCCAGTCAAACAAACCCAATCAGCTCAATCAAAACTTCCAAAAGAACAAAACCCAGATAGCAATATCTAAAAACTATTGAAAAATTAAGCTAAAATCCCAAACCAACACGAAAAAAACTAAAATACAAGAAAAATAAAAAATATATTGCAAGAAAATGGACAAAATTAAAACTGAAGACAATTTTACAGAAGATTGAGCTTAGAATTCTAAGTAGCAGTTAACCAGAAGCAGAGCCTTGAGAAATTAAAGCGGCAGGAAAGTGATGGAAGAAATTTCACAGAGAAAAAGCAGACTTACTGGTTTTCTGCAGAGATTAAGCGACGAAAATGGGCTTTTTAGCCAAAGGCTGCTCCTTCCATTAAAAAGTCAGTCTGGTTTTAGGGTTCCTAGGAAGTTTGACAGAGAGAGAGGGAGAGTGGATGTGGGGGGACTTGAGCGGGAGGGAAATTCTGATACAACTAAAACGAACCCCCCCACGGTAACATTTATTTACACAAACTACCATTCTTTAGGTTTCTTGACTTTTGATGTTTTCCTTAATTCTTAAGCTTGACTTTCACTTTTAAATTTTGTCTCATCAGAATCTTATGACATGGAAAGGATCCCATGTTGTCTTATCTTTTTCTCGTTACTTTAGAGGAAGATATTATTTTTCTTTAACATTATATTTAGGCATGTTTGGTATAAAGATTAAAATTTAATAGATACTGGATGGTGAGTAATAAATAATAAATAGTGGTAGTGGGTAGCGGGTAGTGGGTGATGGTTAATAGATAATAGATGACGGATAATGAAAAGTGAGTAATAGATAATAAATAATGGATTTAATAGATATAATTGTTTGATTATATAATAATTAGTTGTTATTATTTAATATTAAATTACTAACAATAACATATTTAAAACCAATTAAGTATATTTTTTTCTAAATATTTTTTATTTTTTATTATTGAAATTATTAATTTTATAAATATAACAATAAGAAACTAAATAAATAAAATTAATTATAATAATGTAATAATACCCTCATTTTTATTTTTAACAGAGAAAAAAATATTATTTTTAAATAAAAATTTAATCATTTTGTCAAATTAGTAAATTTTGTTTTTTAAGATAATATATTTTTTAGTGATAAATTAATGTAAAAAATAAAAATATTTTGATCACTTAATATTATTAAAAAGTAAAAAAAAATGAAACTTATTAGATAAATATTAATTAAAAACTATGACAAAAAATTAAAAAATTAAATAGGATAAATTTGTCAATAAAATTAAAAATTTTAATCCGCTAGTGGTTTGATACCAAAAGCTACCTAAACTACTTTTTTTTTTCAATCTGTTAGTGGTTTGAATGCTAACCATTATCCATTAGTCTTCAAATTGCTAAATAAAAATTTTACTAAACACTTTATTTGTAATGGTTTCAAACTTTATAAATTTACCAAACACCTATGCTTACTGATTTAAGCAAAATCATTAACCATTACCCCAAAATTATTATACCAGACCCTTAGTTTGATAAAAATGAAAAGAAAAAGGAAGAAGAAAAAATTTATTTAATTAATTAAATTATAATATTTAAAAATATATTAATTTGATTTATTAAAAAGTTCGTCCCTCCCCTTTCCCTCTTCTCCATTTGTTCACTTGAAATATACTACAAGCTTAATTGACCTATTTTAATTTCTTTATTAGAATTTTATATTTATCTCTAATTGATATATTTATCATAATGTGTTAGAAATATTGTTTTAAAATAATACTCTTTTAATCAGATTTAGTTGTCTCACTTTCTAAATATAGTGATTTTATTTAGTTGTCACACATTTTATTTTAATAATACATTAAATGTTAATATTTTAATTTTACCTTTATTTCAAAAGAAATATAAATGCTTTAAATTTTTTTCACTTAATAATAGGTAAAGGGTAAAAATAAAAAGATAAATTTTAATTATTGTAATACAAAATAAATAAAATTTTTAGTAATTGTGAATAAATAAAGTGAGACAATTAAATTTAATTGATACAATTAAATCCAAGTGATGAATAGTAAAATATAAATAAATATATTAAATGATATATTAACAAGGAAAACTAAAGTTGAAATGCAAAACAATTAGAGTTGAACTAGTAATATTTTTTTTTAATACAATTAATTTATTATTATTTTTTCTTTATATATCTATATGATTTAAAATGGATCAAAGTTTGACCCATTTATTAAGTGAGTCAAGATCAAATTCCATTTTAATCTCCATAAATAATTAATAAATAATCAAACTTGAGTTTATCAAGTTTGCAAACTACTCTCTAGAAAATTGTTTAAAATAAAAAATTAATAAAGTTATATAAATTAATTGTTTAAATTGTAAATAAATCAAATAACTCTTGCATTATTTGAGAACAATCTTCGTATCTTAATAACTCCCTTTTTTTTATAAAGAATTTCTTAGGTTAGATTTGATAAATGTAGAGTTTGAATTTTACTCTCAGCGTTCAAAAAAACAAATAAAAATAGCTCTAAAGTACTTGATCAAATCTCAACTCCAGCTGGAACTTTAATTTTCTAAGCCGATCTTGTTATTGTAGAGACAAACTCAAATCTAAACATTTTAATACTCCATTCAACTCGTCCACAACACCATCTATTACCAAATTGGCAAATTAAGGATCTGTTTGGAATTTCAGTGAAAATGATATGTTTGAAATTATTAAGCTATTTTTTAACTGATTAACTTAATGATTCATCCTCAAAGTTTAGTGGTTGGACTTCCTTTAGAGGCTTTAAATGAGAGAAACTCTTTAAACTTTTTTAACTTTTTTTTTAATAAATTTATTTATATATTTATATATATTAATATTATAATAAAAAGAGAATAAAAATAATATTTTTATATTTATTTTTTAAAATGTAAATTTTTTTCTACACTTAAAAAAAAGAATTTTCTTAATTTTTTTATATAAGACGTATGTATAAACTTTCATTATTTTTTAAAAAATTATTAAATTTTTATATAATATTTATTAATTTTTGTACAATATTTTTCTACCCTCTTTCAATAAAAACCTTTTTATTAAAGATGATCCCTGACCTGCTGGCCAAACAGATCCTTAAGGTGGCAGTAATCCCCTCAAGACTTACTGGTGAACCCACGTTCTGTACAATCAATGTAATTGGTAAAGAAAAGGAAAAAAAAAAAAGGAAAAAAAAAGAGGGGGTATTTCTCAGCTTAAATTGGTGGGCCAAAAAAGGTAATTAGTAGCTTAGATATGGTATTAAAGAAATAAAAAAAGAGGAAAGTTTTCAAACTTACTTTCCTTGAGTTACAATCCCGTGGTGGAGGGGGGAGTGATTCAAACCCGTTGCCTTTGGTGAGGCGCATTTGACCTCAGGGAGCTTGGGCCATCAAGCCTAGGGATGTCAACGGGGTTCTGCGGGGTTGGGGAGTGCTTCCCCTTCTCCATCCCCGTAAATGGCGGGGACGGGGATCTCCGCGGGGATTTTTGACGGGAGGCAGATTTTACCCCCCGTTCCCCGCAGGGATCCCCATTCCCCATCAATTAATAACAAAAAATATATTTTTTGCGTCAAACATAAATAAAAATTAATTTAATACAAATAATTAAATCAATAAAATTGTTCCAAATAGAGATTAATCCAACATAAAGCAACATGTTCCAAACATAAATTGTTCCAAATATACATAGAAATTAATCCAACATAATCAAATCGTGATACTGTCATTTTTCATTTTTCCAGTGCATAAAGAAAGTAGGGAGCCACATCCACATGCACTGAGTTACAATTTATCTTTTTCATTTGCATCACACATAAAGAAACACGTGATTATAACATACACAGGCTGGCATGGAGAAACTTTACATGAATAATAATATATTCCTAAAAGTAAAAAAAATAAAGTTACATAGAGGTATAAACATAAGACACAAAATGCGAAAGATGATAAAGTTTGCCAACAAGAACAAAAAAAGGAATTAAGAGGTATAAACATAATCTGGTAATATCTAAGCAACGTATTATAATTCACTTTCAACAAAAAAAACATCAATAATAAAAGAGCTGATATGGTTTCAGTTCCCTTTCTAGCAGCAGATGGTGATATGAGCGAAACTACCTTTCTTTTAACAAGAGCTTCAAGACTGGGAGTGGAGACTCTCACAGTAAGAGCTCCTTATATATTCTAATTCAATCTTGGACATTAAGTCAGTGAATTTCTTTCTGACTAGGCTAAGACTTTTCTTTGCATTTCCCTGCTGACCGTTAGTTTTGCTTAGAAAGCATGCGAACAAACAATATAACAGATCTAGATGACTAATGCCTATTTCACAATTAAGAAAAATTTATTTTTGCTAATTACTTTCCTTTTCCACTGTCAAAAAATATACTAAACAAAAAGGAAGTCAGATAATTCAGTAACCAATAGTATAAGAAAAATGAAAAATTGAGGTAAAACAACAATACAGTACCAGGGATAGGATTCATCTATCACCAGAGATAGTATATAGTATATATATATATAGAATCAAAAGTCAAGCAGATAACGAGAAGGAAATGAAAGAGAAATTGCTCCAAATCGAGGTTGCTAACAATTATATACTATATAGTATGTACTCTAACATCACCTAACAAACCAATAGAAACCGATAGAAACCAATATTAAGTCAGTGGAGAATCTAACACAAGCAGGCAGCAAGTCCGGCACAGTGCAGCAAGCAGAGAGCAAGTCGGCGCAGTGTAGCAAGCAGAGAGCAAGTCGGCACAGTGCAGCAAGCAGAGAGGGGTCCGGCACAGGCAGCAAGTCCGGCACAGTGCAACAAGCAGCAAAGAGCAAGTCCGGCACAGTGCAGCAAGCAGCAGAGAGCAAGTCCGACACAAGCAACAAGCAGCAGAGAACAAGTCCAGCACAAGCAGCAAGCGCAGAGACAAAGTTCAGCAGTCAGCAGGATGAACTCCAGCAGATCTGCAGGCTGCAGCTAACAGCTTTGACAGCAGCTCCAGGAGCAGATCTGTAACAGCTCCAACAGCAGATTTGCAATAGATCTGTAGCAGCAAGAAGGGGAGAGGAAGGTTGAAGGTGAGGTGAGACTTGAGAGCTTGATTGGCCGACTGAAAGCAAGAGTGAGTGAGGGGCTGTGGCTACGACGTGAGT